AGCGACACGACACCACTGAAGACGCACATGTTGGCGTCTGTACAGGGCCTTCAAGCATTCACTGACGTGGTCCTCCCAGTCCCACTCTAGCTCTGCCGCCTCTCCGGCTGGTCTCTTCGGCAGTGGGACTGGGCTCCTGACGGGCGTGCTTGGGCAGACCGTCCATGGCGTCCATGTAGCCATAGCGGGTGCCAAGCATAGCACCAGTGATGGCGAAGCCGCCAAAGCCAAACCAGTAGGTGGTGGAGAGGATGCACTGCATTGTTGCAGATATCATGAATGATGGCAATTCATCAATTTATTTCTTGTTGAAGCGTTCCGCTGTGCAGCAGTAGGCGTACGTGGACAGCACCAGGGGCCAATAAACGCCACACACACATCCAATGGTGGCACCCAGGCTGGCGCCCAAGACCACTCCCACCACATGACTGAAGAAACCATAGGCCATGTGTTGATCATGCTTGGGCAAGTTGTCCATGATGTTCATGTAGCCAGTGTGGATGCCAAGCGCCACACTGGTGATGGTGCAGCCACCAACACCAAACCAGTAGGCGTTGCAGAGGTTGTGTTGCATTGTTGTCATTGGCGAAGAATGATCTGCCTGAAATTGATAGCACCCTGCTCATCATCCCTGGAGAAGAGGAAGAGCTACATGAATCTTATTTGTGTCATCAGCACCTGTTGGTGTCTGGCTGGATTGCCACTGCTCACCTTCCCATGTGGCCATGCAATCCACAACTCTTGCCTCTATGAGCTTGCACTGTGCAACAAGGGTGACGCCATGCTGTGCCCTGAATGTGATGACATCCAGTTGGCCACCATGTGCTCAGTGCTGGCCAGCGCCAAGGACATGAGCATGTCCAAGAATGGCACCACTGGGCGCGCCTACATCATGGCCGCATTGGCGCTGTGTCCTGGGACTGATCTCCACCACATCCAAAAGGCCACCAGCATTACTGTGCTGGCTGCCTACAGTTCCTGGTTGGTGGCGCTGCTGATGATGCCTGACTACCTTGTGTGTGGCAGTTATGGCGGCAAGCTCACCGGGCTCTCAGCCAGCCACCAGTTGGTGTTCATGCAGCGCTCACTTGAATTGGGTCACTCCTGGTTATTG